ATAAACTACCAGCTGTGGTCCAGGGGCCCACCATGAATAACAAAGACACTCTTATCACTAAGAAAATTTCATTGGTTTAGTGGTTGGCTTCCAGGAGCTGTGATAAAGGCAGCATCCCTCGTTGGGTGAGGACAAATTCCTTACTATGTATGTGATGTGCTAGTTGGTCGATTGTCCGTCCATCTTGGCCCTCTTGGTCCCCTTATAATTAGTGAAACTAAACCACGAGGCCAGCTCACATTAAGGTTTGTGCATTTTAACTGTATTCATGTTGTCCATAAGATATCTAAACATAGGCAGGTGGCACAAAATTTAATTCTGCCATTTGTAAAGATTTTCTAGGCTCCTGACATGCTACTTCATTGCCTTTTTTGTTTGTTTGGTAATGTGTAGCTTTGGTCAAATTATAAAATCTCCTTAAGTCTGTGTTTTCTTATCTTTAAATGTGGATATTAACTTTTGGGGGAAAAAAGGTTCTATCAGAAGTTTCTAAACTTTGCCCTATTTCCGCTTTTATAATAGATCCAGGAAAAAATTAATTTAAAAAATTGTAATAATTTGCCAGATTTGTTTCCCCCACAAGTTACTTACCACTGTAAATTCTTTTGTGACTGTTATGAGAGAGAGGAGAAAAAGGAACTGTACTTGTTGTCTTGGACTGCCATGAAACAAAATAGCATAAACTGTCAGGGTTTAAACAACAGAAATTTATTTTCTCACAGTTCTGGAGGCTAGAAGTCCATAATCAAGGTTCTGGACAACTCAGTTTCTGGTGAGGACTCTCTTCCTGGCTTGTGGACAGCCACCTCCTTGCATGGACTTTTCTAGGAGTGCATGCAGGGAGAGGGAACGAGTGCTCTCTAGTGTCTCTTTTTATAAGAACACTAATCCTATCAGATCAGGGCCTCACTCTTATGACATTATTTAACTTTAATTACTTCCTTAAAGGCCCCATCTCCAAATATAGCCATTTTGGGGGTTAGGTTTCAACACATGAATTTTAGGGAGACACATTCAATATATAATAGTGGCTAATGGTACAGCAGTATGTTCAGCAAAGATGCATCTTCTTATGATTCTCCTAACTGACCCTTCATGAGCCATAAAAGAAAAACAATATTTAAGGAAGAATTGCAATTTGAACTACCTTTAAACATCTGCACATAACTGTGACTCCCACTGTCCCTAACTTTCCCAGTACTCAACTTGTGAATGCTCAATCCTATTTATACAAGCCATCTGCTGATTCACAATCATCACTTAGTCAATGAAAATAACTGGATAAACATTACAGAGCCGTGTTTGCTAGTTTCACAGCAATATTGCATGATGATTGTACCACTTACTCTTCTTTAGAAAATTCACTTTCCATTCTCAAGAATTACTACTTTATACCTTTTGTTATTTGCTAAATCTTCAAAGCATTTCCCCCCACTTAGTCTTAGTGTGTGGATTTGCAGCATAAGTCCTAGAAAAATACATACAATAGCACATAAACTACTTTACTAGTCATCACCAATGCCAGCAACCTAACTTGGTACTCTATCTTTCTTCCTGCAATAATGAGGTGCTCCTGTTTCTAAGTAAGGCCTGGAACCCATATACTCTTGTACCCTGAAGAAACTTCATTTCTTCAATTATCCTTTACTCTCTATGTCATTAATTTATTTCTCTCTACTATTTACAGTTATATATATATATATATATTCTCCAACTTGAGACCACCTTTTATAACTAATAGTTCCTTCCTCTGGGAACCATGGACACAAGTTTCTAACAAAATCAAAAAAATCTCAACAATCACTTGTCTTAACCTTTACTCCTCGCGTCTTGAGTGCCTTTTGTAATTGCCTTACATACATTTCATGACGGCTTAATTCTTGCCCCATATTCAGACACAATCACTAACCTCAGTAACAATGCAGCAGGTTCCTGCGAAGCCAAGGTTCTTTAATTTTGGGCGGCCGCCCCTTTTTTCTCCGTGCCTTCTTCCTCACGGGATCCCCCGTATCCAGGCCCCACGTTTGGGCGCCAAAAATGTCCCGACCCGCGGGATATTCAACGCAGACCCTGGAGGAGGGAGTGGGAATTGGATGGGACAAGAGACACGAGAAATTGAGACAAGACAGTATTCTGATCAAGTCTCGTTTATTGATTCTTAGGTTACATCTTATATAGGAGAAGGCAGGCATGCTGCAAAGGGTCTGGAATGTAAAGATATGATAATATCTTGAGGAGAGACAAAGACAGGACATTCAAAGTAATGGTTGCCACCCAGAATGTTTATGGTTAAACAGTTTCTAGAGAAGGATAAAAGGTCACTTGCAAATTAACTTGCATAGCCAGGAGCAATCAGTTTCTGGCATAAAGATTTCGAGGCAGTTATGTAAAGGATGGCCATCTGAGCAGATTGTCACGTAGGAGTGGTCTCACAAGAAGGGGTGTGGGGCTTCAGGCCCCCAACAGTTGTTGAATTCAGTCTCAGTATTTCACATATTATTTTCATGGTGCAATTTAACATGTAGTCTTTGAATGTCATAAATTCTAAAAGATTAAACAATATTAGAAAGGGGATTAAAAGGGTTGTTAAAATCCTGCCATCCTCGCAATCTGATGAAAGAGGTCTACCTATACGGATGTCCCCTATAGGTACCCTTATATAGAAGGATGCATTTTTTTCACATTTCCTTTCTTTTTCTAATATAGTTTATTAGCTTATAGTCAGACAAGGTATAAATAAATAATTATCCTTTGTCTTAGAGGTGAAGTCATTTGATAGCTATGTAGAATACACTTTTATGTTAGTCAAATCTTCTGTTTCCTTTCTAATGGATGCGAAATAGATAAGTGCTTTATTCATAGATTTAAGGGTATGAATCTAAGGCTCTGTGAATTAAATTGCTTATCATGTAAAACTTTGATTTTCCTTTTCTCTTAACAAGTCTGTCTAGAAAAGTTATTGGACAATTATTGCTGTTTCCTTATATTGCTAAAACCAGGAATGTATCTTATCTGGACTTTCTTAAACTCAGGATGAGTAAGAGGAAGCCAGGCTTGGCTAGTAATTAAGACCAAATTCGTGTCAAGAATAGATCCGTGTGGAAATCTATGGAGAAAATGTAGTGATACATTCACTGGGTTTCCTGTGTAGCTGAGTAATAGAATTTTATTGTTGAACCCTGACCTGAAAGACCTGTTCTCTGTAGTTTAATCAAGGTAGAAAATGAGTTGCTATAAGTAAAGAAACTATTTAGATATTTTGTAACCTGGGAATTTTTCCTATTAAATAATATAGTTATTTTTTCTTTTCCAAACTTTGAAATTAGTGAGTTTAGAGAAAATAGAATCTGTTCTTTCAAGATCCTGTAGAATATATGAGTATGTTTGTAAATATATTTTCATACATGATTGGTAATGAATCAGATCTCTTTCATGCCACTGCAGTTAGGTGGCCTCTGGCACTGGAGTTCTCTGGAGGCTACACTGGGCTGTGGGAATGAGGAGAGGCAGTGGTGGGTGGAGGCAGGGAGGCTTCTCTCCTTTTCTAGGTTGTCCCGACCCGCGGGATATTCAACGCAGACCCTGGAGGGGGGAGTGGGAATTGGATGGGACAAGAGACACGAGAAATTGAGACAAGACAGTATTCTGATCAAGTCTCGTTTATTGATTCTTAGGTTACATCTTATATAGGAGAAGGCAGGCATGCTGCAAAGGGTCTGGAATGTAAAGATATGATAATATCTTGAGGAGAGACAAAGACAGGACATTCAAAGTAAAGGTTGCCACCCAGAATGTTTATGGTTAAACAGTTTCTAGAGAAGGATAAAAGGTCACTTGCAAATTAACTTGCATAGCCAGGAGCAATCAGATTTCGAGGCAGTTATCATGTAAAGCACGGCCATCTGAGCAGATTGTCATGTAGGAGTGGTCTCACAAGAAGGGGTGGGGGGCTTCAGGCCCCCAACACTAGGTAGTCTTTGAGCCTCTTCTCTGCACGTGACCTGCCTCTTGGGCTCTCCAGTAGGGTAGCTCAAAGCAAGCATTTCAAGAGAGAGAAAGCAGAAACTGCCAGTCCTCTTAAAGGTGAGGCCTGGGTCTGGTGTGGTGTAACTTGCACTGCATTCTATTGATTAATGCAGGTTACAGGCCCACTCAGTTTCAAACCTGGAGGGGACAAAGGTGTGAGGCTGGGTTCCTTGGGGGCTATTTTTAGAGATGAACTATCATAGTAATATGTCTTAAAATACTTCATTTTAGATAGCTTATGTTATGTACATGCTAGTTAGTTTAAGCTTCAATTCTAGGGATGTTCAATTACACTAACCAAGAATGTATACACGAGATATAGTCAGCCAGTAGTACGAGGTTACTTCAAAAAGTTCATGGAAAGATTCATATTGTCTCTTAATTCTATTTTTTCCACAAACTTTTTGAAGTACCCTTGTATATAAGAAGGAATGTATTACAGGGATTGTCACTTCAGCTGTTCAAATCTTAATCAAAACTAGGCCAGGCAGTAGGATGTCTCTTGGTGGGAAAGGATCAGGCCCACAGAGATAATGAGGCTTCCCGGGGCTGGAGCTTGGCATTACCAAGTCCCTCTTTCTGGTTCTGTCCACCCACCCCAGTGTCTCCAGGTGGGGTAGGGGAGTCTTAGGGCACTGAGGGGAAAGAGAACACCTCCCCAGGTCAGCTGTTGTTTTGAGGGGGAGTAATCAGGAGGAGCTCTGTAATTTAATCCTCCTCACTATTTATAATGAATATCAACCACTGCGGTGACCAGGACCTTAGAGATCATCAAGTCTAACCTGTAACCCAGGAACTTAATTTTCTCTCACTTGCTCTGGCATATTGCTCAGCAAGCTAGAAATAAAACTCTGCTTTTTTCTATAAAGTACAAGAAATAATTGATTCTTCTTTAGAGACCACCTTCTTGAGATAGTATCCATGTGATCACCCAGATTTCACTGGACCTGACTTTCATCAGGTTGTTGTTGCAGAACGTGCCAACAGAAGCATTCACCAACTGAAATATGCCCTGAGAGAAGGAGATGTCACCATTGGAAAAGATGCACCAGATCCTTCTTTTAGTACCAGTTTAGGAAATGAGGATGCTGGGACGGCCTGGCATGAACTGCAACACAGCCATGCTGGTGAGTATGAGTGTGAGTTCTGGCCTGAATGAGGCATTGTGAGTTTTCTAAACTCCATAGAATAATGACTCCATTCCTATCTCCACTCTGCCGATAGGATGTTATTCCTGAAACACAAATCAGGCAATATAATTCCCTTGCTAAATTTTTTCCCATTGACTCCCCAATGCCTACAGGCTAAAGTATAAAATCCTTGGTGTAAGATAACAGTATTTTCTTAAGATAGACCCAGCTTACCTCTTAAGCCTCATGTTTCTATCCTTTTTATCCTAACCCTCCATCTCACAAGTCACGCTCTAGTCATGTCAACCTTCTAGCCATGATTTTATGCTTTTGCATGTGCAATACCCACTAACAAGAATTTTTCTCACCCTTTTCTGCTTGGTGAAATCTTGTTTCTTCTTACAGTGTTATCTCCTCTGTGAAAACAGGCACAATTAAGTACTTCCTCTTTTTGTAGCACTAGACATACTTCTAGGTCTACATACAAACTTTTATTGTTTTATATCTATTAGTGTATCTCTTTTGCTCAATGCATTTTTAGCTCTTAAGGGGTAGAAATTTTGTTTGTTGTTTGTTTTTCTTTATATCCCCATTCAATAGCACAGTTCTTGATGCATAATATATGTCTAAGCAATTTCTGTAGGACGGATGGAAGGATGGATTGGTGATGATAAACTGTTGGTCTCAAACAAATGTTAATAAACCATTGCTTTTTGCTCCGTAGTTAATCAGCTCAAAGCTTTGTTGCACCAACAAGCAGCTAAGGAAAGTGAGGTGTCTCCATCAAGAAGACGAAAAATGTCCCCTTTGGTAAGTATCAACTTTTGCAACCTGACAAAGGATTGGTTTCCTAACTACGTTTTACTTTACAGTGTCATTTTAGTACTACATGTTGTAGACAAATTCTAAGCAGGGCGTGCTAATAGTGTAAAGCATTAGAAGAAATCTCTTCCCTCTGATTATTTTGTCTGAAGAAAAGAGACTTCCATGGCAGAGAGGATCTTGATATTTTTAATTTATTTTTCACTTGAAAGGTGTGAGCAAGAGAACAGTTTGAAGAATTTATTTTGTAACTCTTAGCAAATATATAAAAAGAACAATATATATAAAAAAGTGTTTTAGTAATTTCTTTTTTAGAGGGTCATGTCAATATTTGATCATTTTTAGAAGTTACTTAATTATATTTCTAGCCCTCCTTTGTAATACTCTTTTATTTTGAATGTCAAAACTGAAGTATGGGGCCGACCCCATGGCACACTCGGGTGAGTGCGGCGCTGGGAGCGCAGCAGCGCTCCCGCCGCGGGTTCTGATCCTATATAGGGATGGCCGGTGCGCTCACTGGCTGAGCGCGGTGCAGCCGGTAACAAAAAAGACAAAAAAAAAAACCTTTAGTATGTAATGTTATTCCACATGTTAAAATACATGGTTATAAAATAGTATGATATGAGAAGTAATACTTTATTTCTTCTGGGGTTGTTTTTTATTGCTTTGACAGAGTGTGTTACTCCTGATTGAAGCATTTTATATGCTAAAGGCTGAGATACGTGTAAGGGAAAGAACTGGACTAGGTTTAAATGGCCAAAATAATAGTTGAGGCCTTAGGTCTAGGGTCTATAACATACTCTCTAGAAGAATATGGTACCTATCTCATGGGTTTTTGCAATAATAAGATAAAGTTATATACTTAAAATTCTTTAGAAACTTAGGAAGTATGACACAAATGTAACGTGTCATAGCAGCAGTAACTATCTTGCATTTCAATGTGTGTGATAGTTGAGTACAAAGCCTATGTGTGGAGACGTGTCACTTTCCCTTATTCACAGCTGAAATAGCATACTAGTACCCCCATATTAACACTTCATTCCAGCATGACACATACTTTTATGCTTAATTCCCACTTTAAACAAATGTACTTCTTATGCATATTCAATATTTATAGATACTGATTATAATTTTAATAAAACATTTGATCATTAAGTGAATTTATTACTTATTGACATCTTGTTTCTAAAATGCTGTTAAGCACATGGCGGAGTGCTTTTAAGTCTATTAGATGAAGTTGCTATATCTGTTGGGTGCTCAGACATGCTTATTAGCTTTTTAAAAATTGAGCGGTGACATTACGGAGCTTATTGAGTCAGGAAGACCTTCATCAAGAGCATCAGTTTAGTACATATGGAGAATATTTAAAATATGCAGATCTAGTTATATGGAGCTATGTCAAAGAATGGAATTTAGACTCTATATAGGCTACATGTATTAATTATAAGCCATAATAATAAGCAGCTTTTTAAGATTGTACCCTTAGAATGCACACTCATGGCCAATATGACATATCAGAAATATGTGGATATATTTAGAATGAACCTGAGGCATTGTTGAGATAGAAAATGTATCTAGGTATTATTACTGATTATTTTACAATGTGGATATCCAAACTATAATAAACCCTCTGAAGTATATATATATATATATACACACAAATGATTTCATATGAACATTTTTCACATAGTCTTAGTTTGAGTCTTTTATTTTTCACATTGACTTTCCTTTACATACACATGGTAATATAAGGGTATTTCAAAAAGTTGATAGAAAGATTATATTATCTCTAATTCTATTTTTCTGCAAACTTTTTGAGGTACGCTTGTACTTAATTCATATTTGCCTACCTTCTTGACCCACTTCTATTAATGTAAAACGATTGTAATCAATTTCTTTCAACTCAGCACATATAATTCATTTAATTTAAAGTTACTTTGGTTTTTAAACTTCTTAAATGTACCAAAAAGAGCTGGTACTTCATCATTGTTTAGAAATTCTGCTGAACTGAGGAACAGAATGACTGAGAAAAAAGAGACTATGGCTTTTTTCAGGCTTTCCTCTGGGTTTGTTTAACTGGTTGACCCTCATTTTCCCTTTTCCTGATTTCCTCATCTTTTTTTTAAAAAAATATCTTGATATGGTGTATGATTTCATAAACAATTTCACAGTCATTTTAAGATAAGGTAAGGTATATATTAAAAGTCAGTTCCAGGAATGCTACAGAGCTAAACAGCATTAGCACTTTTTCTGAAATCTCTTTTTTGGGCTCCTCAGTACAGTATATCTCTGTTCTAGGAGGCTCTTATTCCAGAAACTCTTGCTTTGGCAGTTCTATGTTCCAGAACAACATAGTCTTGACTTCCCTTGAGTGCTAGGGTCAAAAATCAAAAATCATGTTTTGCTAATGTGCCCTTTTTGAGATGGAATTTTACCTCACTGACACACACTTGTCATCCAATCCTTTTCTAAACAACTGCTTTTTTAGGGAGCTAATCTGTAGTTTTTGCTAGCAATCTTCTTCCATGGCAGTTTCCTGGAGAGAGTGGTCCCTTATTTCTCAGCATCACCAAATGGAATGTCACATCATCAGATAGTCAAAATAGGCCGTTTGTTCCAAGCCAATTACACCACCCCAGCATTTTCCCATTTGCCATGTGCTTTATATAACCACTTTCACTGTCCATCTTTTAAAAACAATATTCACATCCTTGAATCTTATATATTTGTGGGATTATAGGATAGGGAAAGGAATGTTATTAGATATATCATGATGTATTCTATGTTTATATGACATTAGTGCTAAATTGAGTGTAGAGCAGTACCGACTACTCTTTGCTAAATGCAAACATGCTTAATTTGGCTTTTTTTGCCTTAGAGGTCATCAGAACATGAGGAAACCAATATGCCTACTGTACACAACCTTGTTCCTATCATTAATGACCAGTCTCAATACATTCATCATTTAGAAGCAGAAGTCAAGTTCTGCAAGGTAAGTTTCTCATTAAGAATTTAAACCTAAATAAAGTTTATTTTAATTATACCTTGTGTAAAAAACTTGCTATCATTTGTCTTCATGTTTATAACAATACTTACAGTCATTCTTACATGATCAAAAGGCTGATGTGTTAGAAGGGATCGCTTAATTTTCCAGTAGTCTATTACTATGGCTAATGATTTCCAGTATGCTCTCGTGTTTTTTAATATTTTCTTACCATCCCATTTACTTTAGCCCAGAAGGTAGCAAATGCTATGAAATAATAATACCAATCATTCCCTCATGTTTGTCAACCTGTTGAAAATGTTTTTAATATTTTCTTACCATCCCATTTACTTTAGCCCAGAAGGTGGCAAATGCTATGAAATAATAATACCAATCATTCCCTCATGTTTGTCAACCTGTTGAAAATGTCGTGCAGCAATCAGGCCTTCTAGCTGGTAGACCAAATCTTCTCCATTGTCAGTATTAAGGCTTTGATCTTGACTTTGAATTACAAGAATGCCTTATAGAGTACAGATAGTGCTGATCAAGAAACGAAATGCATCACCTATAGCTTATGACACTGGAAAGTTATGTTGCTTGACTCTATGCAGTTTACTAACATCATTAGTGCCATTAGTGTCTTTCTGCTTTCTCAGAGTATGTTAGTGTTTTTGTCTGTCTTTCTCTCCATCCCTCCCTCTCTCCCTTCTTTCCTTCCTTTCTTCCTTGCTTTTCTTTCTTTTTCAATATTAGTGCATCAGATTGTGTGATATTTTTATAGGAAATACAGATATCTTTTGTATCACGTATTATATTTTTAGCATTTTGGGTGCTCTTCTAAGGTGCAGGACTGGTATGTAACTTAAGGAGCCTGTAGAAATTTCATTGTCTTGATTTTACAAGCGGGATTCTGATGTTAACAAGTAGTTTTCTGTTTGTACTTGGAAGACACCATCATTAATATACAGGTATTATTGGATTGTCTGTAAAGCTGAAATAATATTCTAGGAATCATCTCATTAACAAGAATCTATTAATCCCTAGTATGCTATGGATAAAATTTAAAAGATATAAAGCTTAATAAATTTACCTTCCACTTGAAAAGACAGAACCATCACCTATGAGTACAATAGCAAGCACAGTAGGGAATATAGTGTAGGCCTTTATGTTATAAACTATAATTATAATAAGAGAAGGTTATGATAAGCTAGTGTCTTTGGGGATGTTTTTATATGAGAGGAAGATCCTGAACCAGTCTTAAAGAAATTGGATCATTTACATCAGCAGAAGGGAGATGAAAGAGTCTCATAAGGAGAATAGCAACAATGAAGGGATATATTCAGAATAAATATGGTTTCTTTGTGGAGGCCTTGAGGCAACTGTTCTATTTCCCTACAATGGAGGATGTCTCATTGAAATAATGAAAATAATGTTGAAATGGTAAAATTACAGAAGCCTTGAAAGTTAGAGTGTAAATTTGATACATTTTAACAAGGGAGGAACAGAATGAAATTAATGTTTAAGAGGCTTAGAAAGATTTTGTTTTTTTCTTTACTTAATACACTGTGTTTTTAAGTATACCAATTTTAGGTTTACAGAAAAATTGAATGGAAAATACATAGAGTTCTCATGTACTCCTCTCAATGGCACTCGACCCCACAGTTTCCCGTTATTACCATCTTGCATCAGTTTAGTGCATTTGTTACAATTGATGAGCCAATATTGTTACCTTATTATTAACTAAATCCCCCAGTTTACATTAGAGTTCATGCTTTGTGTTGTACATTCTATGAGTTTTGACAAATGTAAAAATGATATATATCTATCACTACAGTCATATAGAATAGTTTCACTGCCCTAAACATCCGCTGTGCTTTACCTATTCATTCCTCCTTCCTTCCCCCCAAGTCCCTGGCAACCACAGATCTTTTTACTGTCTTCATCTTCATAGTTTTGTCTTTTCCAGAATGTCATATGTAGTTGACCCCTGAACAACGTGGTGGTTAGGGGTGGTAACCCCCACCTCTTGTGCAGTTGAAAATCCACATATAATTTTGACTTCTCCAAAACTTAACTACTTAACTACTAAAGTTACTTAAGGAATTAATTTAAGGAAAAAATTATACCAATTCTCTACAATATCTTTCATAAAATGCCTAGGAGTTAAACAGTTAACTTAGTAGCTAACTACTAATAGCCTACTGTAAGGTAGGCCACTTAACTGTTTGGTCATGTCATAGATTAATGACACATCTAACTAAAAATTTTCCAATATATTATTGGAAAAAAATTGCATGTAAGTGGACCTGCACAATTCAAACCCATGTTTTTCAAGGGTCAACTGTAGTTGGAATCATATGGTACGTGGCCTTTTCAGACTGTCTTCTTTTACCTAGTAATAAGAATTTAAGCTTCCTTCATGTCTTTTCTTGGCTTGATAGCTCATTCCTTTTTATTACTAAATAATATTCCATTGTACCACAGCTTGTTTATCCATTCATGTATTGACGGGCATCATGGATGCTTTCAAGTTTTGGCAATTATGAATAAAACTGCTATATGCATTTGTGTGTTAGTTTTTGTGTGGACATAAATTTTTAACTCATTTGGGTAAATACGAGGAAGTACAGTTGCTGGATCATATGGCAAGAGTATATTTAGCTTCATCAGAAACTGCCAAACTGTCTTCCAGAGTGGTAGTACCATTTTGCATTCCCACCAGAAATGAATGAGAGTTCCTGATACTCTTAATATACTTGCCAGCATTTGGTGTTGCCAGTGTTTTAGATTTTAGCCATGCTAATAGGTGTACAGTAGAATCTTATTATTTTAATTCAGTTCTCTGATGACGTATGACGTTGAGCATCTTTTCATATACTTACTTTCCATCTAGACGAGGGTACTTCAGAAAGTTTGTGGAAAAACAGAATTGAAAGGTAATATGAATCTTTCCATGAACTTTTTGAAGTAACTTCATGTATCTTCTTTGGTGAGGTGTCTGTTCAGGTCTTTCACCCAGTTTTTAATCAGATTGTTCATTTTCTTTATGTTGAGTTTGAAGAGTTCTTTGTATATTTTGGACACCGGTCCTTTCTCAGGTATGCCTTTTGTAAATATTTTCTCCCAGTATGTGGCTTGTCTTTTTATTCTCTTAATGTCTTTCACAGAGCAGAAATTTTTGATTTTAATGAAGTTCAACTTAACAATTTGTTTTTCATGGGTCATTCTTTTGGTGTTATATCTAAAAAATCATTACCAAATCCAAGATCACTTACATTTTCTGCTTTCTTCTTCTAAGTGTTTTATAATTTTGCATTTTTACATTTAAATCTGTTAGACTCTGAGTTAATTTTTGTGTAAGGTGTAAGATTTGTGTCTAGATTCAATTTTTTTGCATGTGGCTGTTCAGTTGTTCCAACACCATTTCCTGAAAAGACTGTCTCTATTGAATTGCCTTTGCTCCTTTGCCAAAGGTTAATTGACCTCCCAGACTATCCTGTTCTATTGATTTCTTTGTCTGTTCTTTTGTCAGTATCACATCTTCATTACTGTAGCTTTGTATTAAGTCTGGAAGTTGCGTAGTGTCAGTCCTCCAACTTTGTTCTTCTCAGTATTTTGATAGATATTCTGGGCGTTTTGCCTCCATATAAACTTTAGAATCAGTTTGTTGATATCCACAAAATGGGATTTTGATTGGAGTTGTATCAAATCTATAAATCAAATTGGGAAGACATTTTGACAACATTGAATCTTCCTATTCTTGTATGTGGAATATCTCTACATTTATTTAGATGTTCTTTGATTTCTTTCATCAGAGTTTTGTAGTTTTTCTTATATATATCTTGTATATATTTTGTGAGAGTTGCACCTAAGTATTTTATTTTTTTGATGTTAATATAAATGGTACTGTGTTTTTAATTCCAAATTCCAGGTATTTGTTGCTAATATAAAAGAAAACAATTGACTCTTATGTATTAACTTTGCATTCTATAATCTTGCTATAAGTCATTTACTAGTTCTTGTATTTTTTTGTTGATTCTTTGGGATTTTCTTCATAGACAGTCATGTCATCTGGAAACAAGTCAGTTTTATTTCTTCCTTCCCAATATGTATAGCTTTTATTTCCTTTTCTTATCTTGTTACATTAGTTAGGACTTCCAGAATAATGCTGATAGAGGTAAGAGGGGACATCCTTGCCTTGCTCCTGATGTTAGCAGAAAACTATCTATTTTCTCACTGTGAAGTGTGATGTTAGCTATAGGTTATTTGTAGATATTCTTTATCAAGTTGAGGATGTTTCCTTCTATTCCTAGTTTACTGAGAGTATTTATCATGCATGTTGCTATTTTTTGTCAAATGCTTTTTCTGCATCTATTGATATGATGATATGATTTTTCTTCTCTACATTGTTGATGTGATGGATTACATTAATTGATTTTCAAATGTAGAATCCATGTTGTATACCTAGAGTAAATCCCACTTGATCCTAGTATGTAATTCTTTTTACACATTGTTGGATTCAATTTGCTAATATTTTATTGAGGATTTTTCCATCTATGTTCATGAGTGATATTGGTAGTTTTCCACTCTTGTAATGTCTTCACCTAGTTGGGTGTTAGGTTCATGCTGGCCTCATAGAATGAGTTAAGAAGTATTCCCTCTGGCATTTTATGGAAGATATTGTAGAGAATTGGTATAACTGCTTCCTTAAATGTTTGGTAGAATTCACATTCACCAGTGAACCTATTTGGGCCTGGTGCTTTATTTTCAAAGGCTGCAGATTATTGATTCAATATCTTTGATAGATATAGACCTATTCAGATTATCTATTTCTTCTTCTGTGAATTTTGGTAGATTCTGTCAAGGAACGGGTCTATTTAATCTGGGTTACCAAATTTATGGATGTAACATTGTTCACAGTATTTCTTTATTGTCCTTTTAATGTCCATGGGATCATTAGTGATGGCCCCTCTTTCATTTCTGATATCAGTGTCTAATATAGTCTAATTTGTTTTTTCTGTCTTTTTCTTAACCTTGGTAGAGTCTTATCAATTTTATTAATCTTTTCAAAGATCCAGCTTTTGGTTTTGTTGCTTTTCTCTGTTGATTTCCTATTTTTGATATTATTGATTTCCAGTCTAAATTTTTTTATCATATCTTTTGTTCTGCTTACTTAATTAGCTCTTTTTCCCTATTTGAAGTCTTTCCCATTTTTTAATGTTTTTGCACTGTTTTTTCTTCATCCCACAAATTTTGATAAATTGCATTTTCATTTTTATTTATCTCAAAATATTAAAAAATTTCTCTTGACACTTCTTCTTTGACTCATGTGTTATTTAGAAGATTGTTGTTTAAGCACCAAGTATTTTCAGAGTTTTCCAAGTGTCTTTCTGTTATTGATTTCTAGTTTAATTTTATTATTTTCTTACAGTATATTTTGTATGATTCCTATTCTTTTGAATTTAAGTCGTGTAGAATATAGTCTATCTTAGTGAATGTTCTGTGTGAGCTTGAGGAGAATGTGTATTCTGCTGCCGGTGGATGAAGTAGTCTATATTTGTCAATTAGATCAAGTTGTTTGATGGTACAGTTCAGTTCAACTATGTTCTTAATGATTTTGTGCCTGCTGGATCTGTTCCTTTCTGGTAAAGAGTGTTGAAGTCTCCAGTTGTAATCATGGATTCATCTATTTTTCCTTGTCTCGTATATTTTGATGATCTCTTGTTAAGCGCATACATATTAAAGGTTGTTATGTCTTCTTGGTGATTTGACTCCTTTGTCTTTATGCAATGCCCATGTAACATCCATGATATTTTTCCTTTTTCTGAAGTCTGCTTTGTCTAAAATTAATGTAACTACTCCAGCTTTCTTTTGATTAGTGTTAGCATGGTGTGTCTTTCTCCACTCACTCACTTTTACCTGTGTTTTCATATTTACTATGGGCTACTATAGACAACATATAGTTGTGTTTTTTTTTTTAATCCACTCTGACAGTCTCTTTTATTTGGTGATCAGACTATTGACATTTAAAGATATTATTGATATGGTTGGATTAACATCTAAGATATTTATTACTGTTCCCTTCATTGCCCTTGTTCTTCTTTCTTTCTTTCTTTTTTTAACTTTCCACTCTTTTTTCTGACTTCTCTGGTTTTAACTAGGCGTCTTGTATGATTGCAGTTTTTTCTCCTGTCTTAGCGTATCAATTGTACTACCTTTTTTTTTCACCTTTTTTAGTGGTTGCCCTAGAGTTTGCAATATACATTTACAACTAATACAAGTTTGCTTTCAAATAACAACATATTACTTCAGGGGTGGTATAAGTTCCTTATAATAGTGTATTCCCAATTCCCCCCATCTGTACTTTATAACATTGCTGTCATTCATTTCAGCATACAGTATTGCTATTATGATGTTGAACATTATCTGTTAGATAAATTAATAAGAAAAATAAAAGATTTTATTTTATCTCCATTTGTTCCTTCTCTAACACTCTTTCTTTCTTTACGTTGGTCTGACCTATATTATTTTGCTCTTTTCTGAAGAACTTCTCTTAACATTTCTTGCAAGACAGTTCTACTAGCAACAAATTCTCTCAATTGTTATTCATCTGAGAGTCTTTACTTTTTCTTTCTTTTTGGAGATTAATTTTGCTGACCACTGAATTCTAGGTTGTGGGTTTCTTAAGGCATTTTATTTCACTCTCTTCTTGCTTGCATGGTTTCTGAAAAGTAGTTCCATGTAATTCTTATTCTTGCTTCTCTATAGGTAAGGTGTTTTGTTTTTTACTCTGAGTTATTTCAAGATTTTTTTTTCTTTGACTTTCGGCAGTTTCAGAGAGTAGATTTTTTTGTTATTTGTTCTGTTTGAGCTTCTTGGATCTGTGGTTTGATGCCTATCATTAACTTAGGAAAATTCTCAGTCTTTATTCAAATAGTTTTTCTGTTTCTTTCTCTCTTCTCTTTTTCATATTCCTATTATACCTTTTGTAATCATACCACAGTTCTTGGATTTTTTTTCCTGTTCTTTTCCTTCTTCCTTTTTATTTTTTTATTTTTTTTTTTATTTTGCATTTCTGCCTTGGAAGTTTCTATTGGCAATTCTTCAAACTCACTAATTATTTCTTCAGCAATGTTCAGTCTTTTCATGTGTCCATAAAAGGCATTGTGTTGAGTGTTTTTGATCTCTAGCATTTTCTTTTCATTCTTTCTTAGAGTTTCCATTTCTCCACTTACATCACCCATCTGTTCTTACATGTAAATCCTCTTTTAACATTAGAAACCTTAACACAGTAATCATGATTATTTTAAATTGCTGGTCTGATAATCCCAACATTTCTGCCATATGTGACTGTTTCCAATGCATGCTCTGTCTTTTCAAACTGTGTTTTAAGTTTTTTACTATGCTTTGTAATTGTTTGCTGAATGCCAGCCATGATGTACTGGGTAAAAGAAACTGAGGTGTAAGTTTTATTTTCATCTGTCCAGAAGTTAGGCTGTGTTTACTATTTGCTGTTACATGTCAGAGATTAAAATTTCCTTTAGTGACAGTTTTTGTTACATCTGTTGTCTTTGGGTTTCCCTAGAGAAGTCTCCTTAAATATAGTTTGAAATATGCAGTTCTTTCGGTTGAACTCCCCTGCTAGTATATAGGTGCCCTATTGATGTAGTAGTAAGGTGTGGGAGTAGAAGACACATTCTATAGCCCTCTGATTAGGTCTCAGTCTTGGTGAGCCTGTGCCCTGGGCTGTGACCTTCACAAGAGCTTCTAGTCTCCCCATCCCCTTTAAGTTAGACAGTAAGGCTAGAGGGAGCTGGAACTGGTGTTTCCCTTCCCCCACATGGAAGGCTAGAGGGGGCTGGAGTTGGGTATTTCCCTTCTCCTGGGTCAGGCAGGTTCCAGGAAAACCCCAGTCAGTTAGGCTCTGGTAAAATAGTTTCCCTTGAGGCAGGCCTTATTATGAAGAACTCAACATGGCATATTTTAAAATGGCTACTTTTCCCCACCTCTTGCTAGAAACAAGATCTAGTCTTTACTGTGATAAACTGTTACCATCCTGGAGATAAAAGTCATGAAAGTGGGGGGTCCTCCTAAGACTGGGTCTCCTTGGAATTTTTAACTTTCAAACCTCGATGCTGAGCTTCCAGCAATTTATCAATTACAGTTTAGATTTTCCTATGTGGGCAGTGGGTTCTAGGGAGGTTTCTACTTGTAGAGATCTGTTCTGGGAATTTGTGAGTCTTGATAGTTGCCCATTTTTCCAGTTTTGGGCCAGTTTCCCTCAATTCTCTGATCTAAAAAGATTTTTTGATTTTCATTTATTCAACTTTTTTCTTGCTGTAAAGATGGGAGTGATGTTTTCAAAGCTTATTACATACCAGACTGAAAATTGGATTTCTGCAATATTTTTGTAAATTACATCTTTCAAATACAGCTTTGGTCTTTTTCTGAATAAAATAATTGAAAGGAAGTTACACATGTTGAATAATAATTTTTGATTACCTTAGTAATGAATGTTAGGTTAAGTATTGTATCATTCACATATTGATATTTTTGACATTTTTTTTCAGTGAATGAAAACCATTCAATAGATATTCTAATTATTAATCTGTAATTCTTTATATTATACCCTGCAAAGCCAAGGAAACACTCTTTCAGAACTCGCCACCAAACTGTTTTACTCACAATTCCCCTCTGTCTACCAGTTCATAAACAATTATTTCACCTTTCTATGCCTTTCTATCTCAGAGTCTTCCTCTATTTAGTCCTTCATCAGTTTTCAACAAGTTATTGGCATTTGATCATGAGTAATAATATATCTTACCTTACTTTTCATCAGTTGACCTCATTCTTTAAAATATTTTCAGGGCCGAACCCGTGGCTCGCTCGGGAGAGTGCGGCGCTGGGAGCATAGCGGTGCTGGGCGTGCCGAGGCCACAAGTTCAGATCTTATATAGGGATGGCCGGTGCGCTCACTGGCTGAGTTCTGTGAGGATGACACCAAGCCAAGGGTTCCGATCCCCTTACCGGTCACAAAAAATAAATAAATAAAATAAAATAAAATATTTTCAATAACCCTTTTAATTGAGGCCTATGAGCCTCAATTAATTGCAGAAATTAATTTGTCAGAACCACACACTTTTGTGATATGGTCATCCACAGGTCCTCTACTAAACACCCCAGCCTTCTCTTTGTTAGATAATGTTTAGATTGCCTTATTTGTATAAATACAATTATAGTATTTCAAGAAATGGATAGAGAGCATAAATGTTCCCTACTTTATATCATGCTGGATGCTCTAGTAATCAACAAATGCAAGCACTGCTTAAAAACGCTTAATGTATTTGGTTTCTGCTTTTTCTAGGAGGAACTCTCTGGAATGAAAAATAGGGTACAAGTAGTTGTGCTTGAAAATGAAAGGCTCCAGGAAGAGCTGAAATCTCAAAGACAAGAGGAGACAATGAGGGAACAAACACTTCTGGATGCATCTGTGAGCATATTTTAAAACCATAAATTCTATTTGAGTTTGAATGTTCCCTCCTGCCCTCTCCCCCAGCCTTCTAAACTATTTAGATTCTCTCTTTGAAGTTTGACCAAAATACTTTTCTGGTATTTATTTGCTTGAGGCCTCAAAAATTAAAATTAGCTGTAGTGGAATGAATCCTCAAATGAAATTATGTAGTGATGCTTAATATTTATTTTGATTTCTTCTCTGAGCATATCATTTATGCTTTTTTCATATGGAAAGCAGATCTGAAAGCAGGAAGTGTGTTATACAATAAGGACTTCATTAAATCTAGAAACTGTTTAGAACCTTAGCTTAGATTTCTGTTGGATTTCTCTAAATTTTCCTTGTGCTCTGACATCTGATAAGTGTACTTACAACAGAACGGTATAGCAGAAAAAACGTTGGCCTGAGGATTCAGGAATCAAAATGTTAGTCTTCCCATTGTCCCTAAGAAGCTGGGTGTTTAGCAAGTAATTTTATAGAGCTTTGCATAGTTTAGCCTCATGGGTCCTCCATTTCTTTATTGGTAATTTGAAAAAATTCACCTATATCAGGTGTTGACAGTGCAGATTCCTGGGATCCATCCCCTGAGAGTCCGATTCAGTTAGTCTGGTTGCGTTGTAGGTATATGAACGTTTATAAAGTTTCCTACGTGATTCTCATGTCAGTGGCCTGTAGTTTGAAGAACAGTGGATCAGATGATCTCTATGATTCTGTGACACAAAATTCTTGCAGTGATATTTACAGTGTTTAAATTTAGTATCGTCTTATGACTTGTCAGAGATACTTTTGCCTTAAAAATGATTTGCTATAGGAGACAGTTAATCACAGCTTGTTCCGCTTTTTGAGACTAATTCAACTTTCCATGGGGAAGTTTTAATACTTGCCTGTTGCAGCTCTACTTTGCAGTAGACTTTGGTGGTTTGACTTTGTCGTCATTAGTAAATCAGTTTTGTTAAGAAAAAATATTGAAGTCTTGATGTTTTGTGTAGGTATCTTCGAATTTTTGTTTTTGAAGTTTGTTTCTTATTTGAAATGATATTTCATTTGTAATCTTTTAAGTTTGTATGTGTTGGAATTTGCTATTGAGAAGTATCTGATTGTGTTAACTCTGAAAAATAAAGTGGGCTGATTAGTATTTCAGTTTATTTTTCTGCAGTTACATTTAAGTTTGTGATCAGTTATCTTTCCCTCACTGTATAACTTTTTTCTGAAGATTTATAAAATTATTAATATTAGTGTTTAAAAATTCCATCTTTAGTTGTTGATTATTTTAAGGTTAACTTGAAGAAGATATCATCCTACAGAGTACTTAGAAGTAGCTCATTTAAAAAATAAATATATTCTTTTGCTTTTCTTCCAAATATGTAGTCACATAGCAAATAGTGACTCAGTTATTCATAGTATTTAATATTTATACAATGGCAAAGAAGAGGAGAAGGGGGAAGCGAAGTGAGAAAGGAAATGAGGCAGATGAGTGAGTCAGAGGGCAAGAGAAGTGAGGAATGCAAAAGGGGAAGGAAATGATGGTAAAAGCACACAGGCCTTGCAAAGGAAATCTGCTAAAGAAAGCTATAGTTAATAATCATAGAATAGACAAGGTTATAAGAAGGAGGCTTTACTGTTGTTTTTTAAAAAACATTCACATGAGCTAAAATGGAATGCAAATATTGAAGTGATTATTACACATGTGTCAGGTGACCTTGATATCTATTTTAACAGTAGTCTTCTGTGGTATTTGTTACAGAATTGTTACCCCCACTTTTTGTTTGTTTAGGGTGAACTGAAGCATTTCAGGAATGCATGCATGGTGCTGTTAACATGAATAAGACTTTTTAGAATATCTTAAATATAAATAGATCAAGAAATATTATCTTCTTTCTTGGTGAAGGGGACATTCTTAATGAGTCAATTAAAATGTTGATGGTAGATCTCGCAAAAGCTATTGGCTAATTTCAACATTGACTTTCAGTGTTTTATAATACCTTCTTTTGAAAATTACTGTTTCAGTTACAGTTAGATAGCTATATAACTGACATTTGCTCATGACTACATAATTATTATGTGCCAGGCACTGCATCAAGGATTTATTTACATTATATTATTTCAGTTTCACAGTAACCACATAAGGCAGGTGTATTTTCAGAGTGGTAAATAAGTACACAGTAGTTAAGTAACCCAAGGAACTGGTCTGATGTCACAGAGCTAGAAAATGGCAGAGCAAGGACTCAAACCTAGGCTTGTCTGCCTTGCCAGATCCATCCACATTACCTCAAATTATACTGGCTTTCTGCATAAATTAGGAAGAGCTTGTCTATACTGAACCAAACCATTTTTACTTGGAGTTTATAGAAGTTTCCCTTAGCAGAAAATAGAAGAGCCTCCTTTTTATTATCTCTCACTGGACTTGGATAGGAGCCTATAAGACTTTTAGCTTTTGGCCTAGTTGATGACCTAAAAATTGAAGAAGTAAGCAGATGATTTTTTTAAAAAACTAAAATAATTAAAAGTATATTTCATTTCTGTATTTTTTTTAATCACTTTTCCCTCTTATAAAATTTCTCTTCTTGGAAAGGTTTTCTCTAGAGTCCAAAACATTATAATAACATTAAAACCTGTTTTTTCATAGAAATTTTGACATATATACTCATTCAAAGATCTAGGAGATTTTTTTTAAGTGGAAAATTCTGAGCCATTTCTTTCCATGTTTGTTAACCTCTCCACTACCAACTCTCTCTTCAATTAAGAAAGCAAAGGTTTTGAATGATTTCCAGGGATTTAATATACATAGATTTTTAAATATTTTAATTGACACATTGTAATTGTACATACTTATGGGGTACAATCTGATGTTTTGATACATACGTATGTTGTATAATAATTAGGTCAGGGTAGTTAATGAATCAATCACTTCATGCATTTATCATTTCTTTATGGCAAAAACATTCAAAAAGCTATTGTGTAATATGCAAAACTTAACTGTTAACCATAGTCACCCTCCTGTGCAATAAACACCAGAACTTATTCTTCCTACCTAAAAGTAATTTTGTACCCATTGGCCAGCCTCTCCCTGTTTTCCCTTCCCCCTCCTTCTAGATTTTTTTTTTTTAATCTTGGTTAAATATCATTCAAGTGTTTAAAAATTATCTGTGAAAGAACAAAGCATTCATTAGACTAGCACTTCTTTCCAAAGTATAATATTTTGCCCCATAAGTCAGCAATATGTGGTCTACATGCTTTCTCCAATTTCTCTATAGGAAATTAGTACCACGCTCCTTTACTGATCTCAAAAGCAGCTTTAAATGTAGTCCGATCTTGGGAGACTTGGCCCTACCTACAGTATCACGTACCAGCTCATGAGCATGTCATGTCATATTCTCAAGACCCTTATTTGACTCTCTATCTCCATCTTTTGACATACATGGCCTTGTACTTTCACCTCTAGAAATGGTGAATTCCCTAAGCCTGTCCTGCAGGCCCCATGCTATTTCACACCTCTGTGACTCTTCTCATAAGGTTCTCTCTTCCTAGAATGCTCTTCCAGTCTAGCAAACCCTTATTCATCCTTCTAGATATACTAGTGCCAAAACGTCAGGAAACCTTCCTTACACTGCCGGTTGCTCTTAGTATCCCTCTTTTGTTCTGGCATAGTCTCCCATGCACACCTCTGGCCTAGAACTTACGTTATTGAATCTAAATATCTGCCTCGGTGTTTGTCTCCCTCATTAGACTCTAAATTCCTTGGGGCTAAATTGGTCTTGCTCATTTTTGTCCTCCAAGCTCTTAGCACAGTGCTATTGAACACAGTAGGTGCTACACAAATGTTTGCCCTAAAGCGAACTTCCAAAAGCATGTGGATTAGAGTCTCAGAATATGCTACTTTGTATTAATGCAGTTTTCACAGCTTAGCATGATGTGACACTGCAATATAGTTTAGTGTTTGGGGACCTGTCCTCCCTTGTGAGTACTACCATATCCTTTGGCCCTTACCAAAAGTTCAATAATTAATTATTTGTTGAATTAATGTAAGTATTTTAGTCCTCGTTCCACACATAAACTACCCAATCTTTGTCTTGCTTATTTCATCGAATGCTGAGAGGGCGGCAGAGGTTGCAAATTGTCCCTTACCAAAAGTTCAATAATTAATTATTTGTTGAATTAAATTAATGTAAGTATTTTAGTCCTCGTTCCACACATCAATTACCCAATCTTTGTCTTGCTTATTTCATCGAATGCTGAGAGGGCGGCAGAGGTTGCAAATTGACAATGGTTACACCAGATTCAACCTATACATGTGTTTTGTTTGTATGACAAACTCTGAGCCAATATTAAACAATGCTTCAAATGAAGAACCAGATACTTGGCTTATCTTTTAAAAAATCAAAAGATTTTCTGGTAATATGAATTTGCATTCCCACATGGCAGCGACTGACTGAAACTGAGTAGTAGCTGCTTCCTTTGGAAGGGACATGTTTCTATGGTTTGCCATGGTCCCTATCATGCCTTTTCTGAATCCCTGACATGCAGACTGCATGTCAATTCTGTTTATCACCACATGCACACTGTTTTTCTTATTGAAGATAAATATTTTTTTGGAAAGGAAGAAGAGCATAATTTTTTTAAGGCATTAAAAGAAAAAAACTTATAACATCAGATGTGTCAGATCACCCCTCTCCCCACCGCACCGAGCAATTCTCCAGTGTTCTGTGGACACCAACTGTGTGTCCATGATTTAATTCAAATTCTGACACCAGCTATCCAGGCTTTGCATCAGACCCCACAGGTTAAGGGCTCAGTCCCAGAAGACTACCCCTTTCAGATGCTGGTCGCAAGTAGTGGATCCACAGTTTTCTCACAATTCCTTCTGGTTTGTCTCCAAATCGAGCATTAGCACAGCCTCTTTATCCTTTTGATAAGTTGTTATAACGGCTCACAAAACTCAGGGAAATACTTTACTTGCTGTTACTCGTTATTATAAAGGATACAAATGAACATCCAGATGGACAGGAACACAGGGCAAGGTCCAGGAGGGTCCCAAGTACAGGAGCCTCTGTCCCCATGGAGTTGGAGTATGCTACTTTTCTAGCACGTGGATGCATTCACCAACCCAGAAGTTCTTTCAACCCCAACCCATAGGATTTTTATGGAGGCTCATTATATAAATGATTAATTAAATCATTGGCACTTGGTGATTAAGTCAATCTCTAGCCCCTCTCCCCTCCCTGGAGGTTGTGGGTGGGGCTAAAAAAATCCAATCTTTTAATCATGCCTTTGTCTTTCTGGCTACCAACCCCCATCCTGAAGCTACCTCGGGATCCCAGCCACCAGTCGTCTCATTAGCATGTAAAAAGATGCTCTTATCACTTCAGAGATTCTAAGGGGTTTAGAAGCTCTTTTGTCAGGAACCTGGGACTAAGATCAAATATTATTGCGAAAGATATTCCTATCACTCCTATCACTCAGAAAATTGCAGGGGTTTTAGGAGCTCAGTGTCAGGAACTGGGTTAGAGACCAATTTCATATTTCTTTTTATATCACAGCCATGAACTCTGCTGTGCCATTTATTAACCTCTTTCTACCTCTGTGACCCTTAGCAAGTTACTCTATGTGACTCAGTTTCCTCACCTGTAAAATAGAGACAATAGAACCCATTTCATAGTTATTGTAATGATTAAATGAGTTAATATGTATATGTGAAGCACTTAAAACAGTGTCTGGCACATAGTACACACCATATATGTTAACAATTATTATTACTAGCCTTGACTCTGAAATATGGAACATGAAAGACAAGCCAAGAGAGGGCTATGTATTTCAAGAGTGTATGTCTCCAGAAGAGTAAGCAATTCCATTTGTTGAGTACACTCTGACCTCCAGCCCTCTTTGTTCATATTCACATTATTGCTTCTACCTGTAGGAATTTGTCTTTGTAACACATGTTGTGGAATGTGACCTGTATGTCTCCAGAAGAGTAAGCAATTCCATTTGTTGAGTACACTCTGACCTCCAGCCCTCTTTGTTCATGTTCACATTATTGCTTCTACCTGTAGGAATTTGTCTTTGTAACACATGTTGTGGAATGTGACCCTAATAGCCTGAAAATGTGAAATGTTTCTTGACTTGTAGTTTAATAGCATATATATTTTTTCCTTTCATCATAGATAAGCATTCTGTTTGTAAAGTATGCATGTTTATTTAAAATTGAATGTTGATTGCAGTTACTGGCACATTCCACTTTAGGGAAATATGCAGAATTCTTGGATTACAACAGGTGAAGATTCTGGGGTGGATGAAGCTGCCAAGAGACCATTTTCTCATGGCAGTGCAGGCATTGGCAAAGCTGCATCTGCTGGTGAGGCTGAAAAATGGAAGCTAGAACTGGTGAGTAATTGGGAGTTTCTCTCTTACGCATCTGGTTTTTTGGGGGAGGGGGGCGGGATACTTTTTAAAATTCTGAAAACATATATAACATAAAATTTACCATTTTAACCATTTTTAACTGTACAATTTATCTGCATTAAATATATTTACAATGATGTGCAACCAACAACACTATGCATTTCCAGAACTTTTTCATCATCCCAAATAAAACTCTGTATCCATTAAACAATAACTCCCCATGTCCCTCTCCCCTCCACCCCTGGTTATCTGTATTATATTTTCTATCTCAATTTGCCTATTTTACATACCTCACATAAGTGGAATCAAGCAACATTTGTCCGTTTGTGTCCAGCTTATTTCACTTAACATAATGTTTGCAAGTTTCATCTACGTTGTAGCATGTATCAGAATTTTATTTCTTGTTAAAACTGAATAATATTCTATTGTACGTGTGAGCCACACTTTGTTTATCCATTCATCTGTTGATGGACATTTGGGTTATTTCTACCTTTGGGCTATTGTAAAGATTTCTGCTATGAATATTAATATACAAGTATCTGTCTAAGTCCCTACTTTCAATTATTTTTAGTATATACTCAGAAATGGACTTTTTGGATCAGATGGTAATTCTTCATTCTTTCTTTTTTTGACACCTCAGACTTGATAATTTCACTTGTCCTATCTTCAAGTTCACCAATTCTGTGTTCAAATTCAGACTGCTGAGATCTGTTCTCGAACCCCTCTAGTGATGTTTTCATTTCAGTTATTGTGTTTGTCAGCTCTAGAATTTCTGTTTGGATCCTTTTTATAATTTGTTTTCCTAATTTCCTTTAGTTCTTTGTCCATGTTTTCCTCTTAGCACTTTGAGTGTATGTAAGAGAGTTATTTTAAAGTCTTTGTATAGGGCCGGCCTGGTGGCGCACTGGAGAGTGTGCCGCTTGGGAGCACGGCGGCGCTCCTGCTGAGGGTTTGGATCCCATGTGGAGACTGGTTCCCGCTCACTGGCTGAGCGCGGTGCGGGCACACCACCGAGGGTTGCGATCCCGTTGCCGGTCCCCGGTACGGGCGCGACACTGAGGGTTGCAATTCCATTACTGGTCAGTAAAAAAGACAAAAAGCAAAAAAAAAAAAGTCTTTGTATAGTAAGTCTGATGTCTGTGGTTTCTTGAAGATGGTTTTGTCAATTTGTTCTATTCCTCTGAATGAGCCTTGTTTTCCTGTTTCCTTGTATGCCTTGTGTGTGTGTGTGTGTGTGTGTGTTTCTTTTTTCTCTTGTTGAAAATGGAGCATTTCACTATCATAATGTTGTAACTCTGGAAATCAGATACCCCTCATTCTCAAAATTTACTGTCTTTTTTAGTGTTGAAGGCTGTCATTCTTTTGTTTTGAGATTTTTCCAAACAATTTTTGCAGAGACTTGTCATGTCTGTGTCTTGTCTGTCTCGTCATGTCTGGTGACTAAAGTCTCTGTTCCATTAGCTCATGTTCGGCTAATATTTGACATGATTTTGTTGAATACCAGGAGCTGAAATAAACAGACAAACAACAACAAAAAAAAAAAACACCAGAGAAAAAGAAATAGAGAGAGAGATGAACAGCCACCTCTCCCATTCTTTACAGATTGGCTCTGTGCATTTCTTCACTATTTAGCTAGGCTTGCTCTAAGCCTAGGGATCAGCCCTAGGTGAAAGCTTAAGGTCTTCTCAGAACTTTTCTGAGTATGCATCTTCCCTTTCTAAATTCCCCCATACACATGGCTGCTTTTGAATGTCCTAATTTCCCAGAGTCTAAACTAATTCTGTTTTAAGACCAAATGATACTTTTCAATCCTTTGATCTGTGTGACAGATGTTTTTTCTATTCTTGCTGACTTGAAGTCTTCTTTGCATTAAATTTGACATGTCAGAATTGATCAAAATGATGAAAGAGTAACAATAACACTGTAAATAGAGTGTTCCAGAGGAAGGTGGAATGAATTATAGTTCAAGTTCTCTATTATTACCTGTATTATCTACAGGTGTTATTATTTGTAGTTTTCTGAAGGCTCTTTCTGCCCCCTCATCTCCCTCCCCTTTCTCAGTCCCTAATTCAAGCTTTATTCTACTATTTAGGAAAGAGTACCTTTGAAAAAAATCTGAAAGACTAAGTAAATTGTATTTTTTTTCCATCTGAATAATCTGTGGTAGCTACTGAATACCCACCCATAGGATAAAGAGCAGTCTCCTAAGCCTTCTGCAATTTGTATAAAACTACCTTTCCAGATTCACTTCTCAGCCTTCTCCTGTCACTCTTACAAATCCTATCTGCAGGCACCAGACACCCATGAGTTGCTACCTCATGAACTTATTACCCACTTTCATTTCTCTTTAAAGAACTGGCTTTGGTTTATGCAGTCCTGCCTACCTAAAATGTTTCTTTCTTACCCTCTACCTATTGAGATGTTTCCATTCTGCAAGGCTTAGTTCAAATGCCTTCTCCCATTCCACTTTCCCTTACTGCGTGCTTCCTCACTTTTCTTTCCTGCATTAGAATTCTTTTCTTTTTTATGTCTTCCCTTAGTATTGCATTTATAACTGTTGTAGAATCATCTTTTTTCCTGTTTATGTCAAAAGTCAATCTCTGCATTTGTATGCTCTACATCCCAAATGTTTCTCATTTTTTTTCCCAAGGGTTTCACTCCTGCAATTAACTATTTTTTTTTCTTCTATCTTTTCTCCCTCTTGACTATGTTATTCTCATATATGTTCTTTAATAGCTCCCATCTTAAAGCAAACAAACACAAAGTACATTCTCTTGACCCTACATTCCCTTCAAATCATCACCCTGTATCTTTGCTCTCTTTCACAACAAAAGTTTTGCAAATGGTTGTCTATATTCATGTATTTATTTCTCTACTTCCCATTCTTACTTCAACATGCTTCAGCTGAGTTTCAACTCCCTATGGTACACTCGACCTGCTCTTTTTAAGGCTATTAATGACCCCCACATACCAGTCCTCATCATCTTACTGTTGCAGCAGCTTTCTATAGCATGTAGATTAGTTTATCATGCCCTCGTCCTTTAAATTTTCTAATGGCACAATTTAACATACATTCAGTAAAGTACACAAAACAAGGATTGCAGCTCAATGATTTATCTCTAAATGAACACCCATGTAATTGTTACTTAGTCAAAAGGTATAACATTATCATGTTCCACAGGCCCTCAGTATGCCCCCTCCCAATCACTGCCCCCTCATTTCCTTAAAGCTGATCAATATCCTAACTTTTATAAAAATTACCTAAGTATGCATCCCTAAGCCCACTGAGTTCTGCTTGGGTTTTTTTTGTTTGTTTTGGTTTTTTTAATGTTTTATAAATGGAATCATATAATATCTATTCTTCTGTGTCTGGCTTCTTTTGTTCACCATTATATTTGTTAAATTTATCCATGTTGTTGAATGTGGCAGGAGTTTGTTTACTTTTATTGGTGGGTCCACTGTGTGATTATACCACAATTTATCCATTTGATGTTGGTGAACATTTGGGTTGTTTCCAGTTTAGAGCCATTGTGAACACTGCTGCTCTGAACAATCTTTTATGTGTTTATTTTTCTATGCATTGCACACATGTATGTTGAATGTGTACTTTGGAGCAGAACTGTTGGTCTTAGGCTGTGTTTCTCTTCAACTGGATCTCTGTTCAACTTGAGTAGGTGATGACAACCTTACAAAGCAAATTTTATCGGTTTTATCGGTAAAAGGATTCCCTTTTACCTCCTTTTGTTATTCTTATCAGCAGTGTACGAGTTGCTCCCCGTCCTTGCCAACATATGGTATTGTCAGTTTTTTGGTGGACTTGTCGTGACATTGTGATTTTCATTTGCATTTCCCTGGTTATTGGTGTGATTGAATATTTTTTCATATATTTATTGGCCATTTGATGTCCCTTTTTGTGAGGTGCCTGTTCAAATATCCTACTTATTATTTTTATATAGATTTATTTCACTGTTGTATTGATTTGGGGGAGTTCTTTATATATTCTGGGTACAAGCCCTTTGTCAGTTTTATATATTGGAAATATGTATTCCCACTCTTTGACTTGCCTCATAACTCTCTTGATAGTTTGCTTGCTTTGATTACTAGAATTTCAGTTCATATTACTTAATTGTATTAAAAGGTCTTTTCCTACCCCGTAGTCACGAAGATATTCTCCTATATTATCTTCTAGAAACTATAGTTTTGCTTTTTACATCTAAATCTACAGTCTTCCTGGAATTTATTTTTGTATACAATGTGAAGTGTAGGGTCACATTTTGGTCTTTTTCCATATGTTTATCTGTATATCCAAATGCCATTTGTTGAAAAGACAATCCTTTGCCTTTATGCAGTACCTTTGTCATAAATCAGGTGTCCTTATATGGATGCATCTGTTTCTGGGCTCTGTTTTATTTCATTGTGCTAATACTGAGTCTTAATTGTTACAGCCTTAAATCTGGTACACCAAGTCTTCCAACGTTGTTCTTTTTTCTCAAGGGTGTCTTGACCCTTTTTGGACTTTTGCATTTCCAAAAACATTTTAGAATTGTCAAGTTCCAAAAAGTCATTATAGGGTTTGGGTTGAGATTGCCTTTAAAATATATTACTTGAGAATTAACATCTTTATGTTATCATATCAACTAATCTTTGTGAACTGTGTATCATTCCATTTATTTGAGTCATCTTCAATTTTTGTCAATAACCTTTTACAGTTTTCTGAGTAAAGGTCATATATATCTTTCATTAGATTATTCCTAACTTGTTACTTTAGATGCTATCATAAATGAAATATTTTTTTAAATTTTTTCATTTTCTAACTCATTATTGGTATAGAGAAAAGCACATCATTTTTGTATTTTGATCGACTCCCACTTTCTTTTGATTAGGCTTAGCATGGTGTATCTCATTCTATCCTTTTACTTTTAACCTATTTATATTTTTACATTTAAAGTGGGTTTCTTGTAGAAAGCATTTACCTGGGTTTTACTTTTTTATCCAGTCTAGCAATATCTGCCTTTTAATTTGGGTGTCTAGATCATTGACATTCAATATGATTATTTATTCAGTTGAGTTTAAATCCACCATCGTGCTATTCGGCTTCTTTTTTAGCCATCTATTATTTGTTCTCCTTTTTCTGTTTTTTGTCATCTTTTGAATTGACTATTTATAGGATTCCCTTCACCTCCTTTTGTTATTCTGAAAAAGTCATCATTCACTTCAGTACTCAATTCTAAAACCCAAGATTATTTTTAGTGTCTTTGGAAATCCAGGATTACTTTTAGTGTTTTTTTGGAAACCCAGAAATATCTTTAGTGTCTTTTTCTCCCCTATATCTATTTAATTATAAAATTCTGTCAAATTTACTCTTAAATACCTCTAAGTTAAATCCTTTCTTTTAAATCCTTACTGCTTGATTGCTTTTATTCACATGTTTATCTCTTACCTATGTATTTGAAATGACTTCTTTGCTGGTTTGCCTTTCTCCACACTTCAAGAATGATTTAAGATTTAAATCTGATAAAAAGATTTCAGTAGCCATCAATGCCTCAAGTACAGGGTACTACATGAGTAGTGTAAACTAAATGAAGGTCTTAATATTTTTATTCTTCTCATGGCCCACCCTTACCTGTTTGCCTCATCTCCAGCCACTCTTCCACCTAGCATTTTACTTTCTAGTGATACTGATCTACTTACTGTCCAGACATATAGCATGCTTTCTTCAGTCTCTGTACCTTTTGCTCTACTGGAAATTATCCTTCAACTCTTAGCACCTCCTCTGTGAAGCCTTCTTTATTTCTCTTTGGCTGAATTTAGAGTACGGTCCTCTCTGACTTTGTTTTACCTTCTGTATACCTCACCAGAGCAATTATATGTAATTGAAATTATTCATCTGTCTTCTTTTTCTTGCTAGAATGTAAGCTCCTTAAAGTTTGAGGCACCTTCCTCTTAAATAAATATTTGTTGAATAGAAGAATAATTGGATACTTGGAGGCTTGTAGAATAATAATTGGAGGCATGTAGATAGTATATCAGTTCAACCTATCATCATGTGATTCATAACTTTACTTTTTATCATTCATCCAGCATATATTTATTGTATGTCAAATATGTAGCAGACAAAATGGGTAACTCCAGTAAGATTTGATCTTTGCCCTCATGGACCTTATAGGTTACAATTGGTTTTTCCCAGAGTCACACTTTTAGGTGTAAGACCTGATGTATGCAATTTTCAAAGAAAAAAAAAGTCATTAATCACCATTTTATGACTGAATAGTTCTTTGCAGGCATTAACCTAATAAAAGTAGAAAATCTTGAGTATACTAGGGAAAATATTTCCAGAGAAGATGCATTGTTCTTCCTCTTGGGTAAAAAGGAAAAAAATGAGTTTAATATTAATAATTAAAATTTTCTTATAAAACACAGGACAAGGAGAAAATGTACTTTTTTGTTTCCTTTTCCATAGGAGAAGATAAAACTTATTTATGAACAAAAGAGTGAAATACTGGAATCTCAGTTGAAGTTTCTGAGGTAAAGTGAAATTATCCATTTGCAATCACAGCAAAAATTATCTTAAACTATAAAAGCATAATGATCTTAAAATATATGTGAATGTTTGCTGAACTGTCAGTTTTAGTCAATATTAGGATTACTTGATGACATTTTATATGCAATATAAAAAATTTCTTCTATCCATTTGCAATCACAGCAAAAATTATCTTAAACTATAAAAGCATAATGATCTTAAAATATATGTGAATGTTTGCTGAACTGCCAGTTTTAGTCAATATTAGGATTACTTGATGACATTTTATATGCAATATAAAAAATTTCTTCAAATTATTCAAGGGTAAAGAGTCATAAAATTGAGTTCTTTTCCAAATTCCATTTCTGTGAGCTAAATTATAAATTTTATCCTTTCATCAGTTGTAAAATATTTGTGTTTTCTCATAGAAATAACAATCACTATATGCTTTTGTAGAAATTATGCTTTTAAAGTAAAATAAATAGTGAAAATAAAACCTCAGTTTTCAAGTTACAAGCAAGTATTTTTTGGATTTTTTTGTCTAATTTTAAGATTACAGCAATAATATGTAGTTTGAGTACTTATATGCATGATGAATTCGATTATGTATAATGAATGTTCATGTACTTTTTGTAAAATCTATTCATTATAGATTTCAATAAAATTTATATACTATAGATTAACCATTAGTGACTTATACATAATGAGTAGAAAAAGGCACTAGGAATTACCTTAATTTTTTGTTAAAGCCTATTTTAAGTAGTGGTAATGAAGTTATTTTCAAAATAAATAACTTTAAAATATTTTTTTAATTTTATTTTAATAATCCCAATTTGAAATAAATTTAAAATTTTTCTAGGTCATATACTCTCTGGAGGCATAACTAGAGTAACACTAACGACCCAAACTCATGGCTTTCACTGCACATGTTACTGTTCATTTATTTTTAATATGCTGTTATGCTTTTCATAGCTCACCCTTATTAGTTTTAGAATTTCTATAGAGATTTTTACCTTTTTACAAACAAATCTAACATTTGAAAAATGGTCTAATTTTTGCTTTCTTGCTTTTCATCTTACTTTGTTATATTTTGATATTGATTGTGGTTTGATTCTTCAGTTTTTGAAGTAATATATTTCTAGGTCATTATATTTATGGAAATATGACTTATTTTTGTCATTCTGAATTCATATATGCCATCTTTAATCACACTAAAATGTCAACTTGCAGTGAACTAGACTTTTTCTCTGCATTCTTCTGTTTCTTCATTTTCTTTTGGCCTAATTTAAGATTAAAGAGACATTTTCTTAAAGAAAAAAATAAAATCACTTTTCAGAAACCTGGCTGTAAGGTAGCTATTTCTTTTTAATTTTCTCTTTTGCCATTCCTAGTAACCAAATCGGCTTGAATGTTTTCATTTTGAACCTGACAGAAATTAGTAATGGGGACCCTTTGACTTTGGAATGTGCTTCCAAAGTTCATTTTATAAAGCCTTTGAAAGTCAGACTTTCTGTACATGATACTCCTGAAAAAGAAAACTTATTATGTTGGAGATATTATCTTAGGGTTAGGGCAAAAGCAGCTTTATTTTTTTTCCAACTTCAGACTGTCAGTAGATTAGCTTTTTTTAACCCTTAGTTTACCCATAGATCTTTTCCACCTCCCCTGAGCTGCTCGAAAGCCCTCAAAGTCCCAAGAGTTGAACTAATGCATGACAGCCAGATGTCCTGGCTGTTGGTTTCTCCTCTGTGATAAATGAGCGAGTTAAGGTAGTTACAAACCCCTGAGCATAGAAACTATGATAAGAGGGAGTAGACTGAGCTGGAGATAAAGTGCCTGACTTCAGTACTCTCCTTTTTGAGCTAGGAAGTTGGTTTTTTAAAAAATATATAGTAGGAAAGGGACATGTAGGCAAGGAAGCTCACTTGCCCAAGTTGACTTTATCAAAGCTTTACTGGAGAGGGGGAGGAAAATACAATACATACACCGGTCACTTAATCCTTAAAAAGTCAACTCAGAGCAAAACCTCATCCAGGGGCTAGCCCATAAAGTAAAAACAAACACCCCCCCCAGCTCCCCCACCCCCCTTTCTTTCGCAAGTGGCATGTTTCTAGCTAATACCTACTACTGTTGCAATCTTATGACCGCGGGCAACTTCCATATGACTTCTTTCTGTAGCTCGCTTTTTTTGGATATATCTCTTTGTAGAACTTTGCGGTTATATAATTTTTTAATGTTTTCTTCCTGAAGAAAACTGGGCAATAATAAAATCCATGTTATTTATGTGAAATTTTAAGGCACTCTAAATTTTAAGGGGTTAATACTTAAAGTAGGGTATTGTCCTCACTCCATCACCCCTTAACTAAGAGAAACTATTTAGGATTTATATTTGGAGTTTTGTTTTTATTTTGTGGGCAATATAATGTCAGTGGAGGTGGAATCTTATGAAAAAGTCAGTTTCAGAGGCAGACTCTAATCTCTTAAAATCTTATACGAACCTGAGCTAATTATTTAATATATTCAAGTCTCATTATATTCAATGGGCCAATTAGGATAATCACACCCGTTTCAGGGGTGTGGTAAGAATTAATAAGGTGTTGTACGTAAAGCAGCTCGTAAGGTAAACATCCATAAATGATAATAGTGTTATCACTGTGATGATTCGTTTGAAAGTAGTGTACTTTCATCAGCCCATATCCTAGAAATTTTTTTCCCCTCTTTTTAGGAAAGACTTAGCCGAATATCAGAAAAATTGTGAAGATCTTAAGGAGCGACTAAAACATAAAGAGTCTCTTCTTGCTGCTAATGTTTCTAGCCATGTTGGTGGTCTTTGTTTGAAATGTGCTCAGCATGAAGCCGTTCTTTCCCAAACCCATAATAATGTTCACATGCAGACCATCGAAAGGCTGACCAAGTAAGTATGCTTCTACGTGCGGAGTCTTTGGCAACATGGAAAATTGTGTCTTTACAGGGGCATTGTGTTCTTTTATCTCCATGCTAAGTCACATGTGATTAATGTTAAGCTTCTAGTAAAGTAGATTTCAAAAGGTTTCTTCATTTCAACTTTCTTGGAGACAGAACGGGTAGGTTCTGCCAAGGGTGGGTAACCGTGTCACTTTGAACAAACAATTTTATCTCTTGGCTTCAGGCTCATCTTGAGGTGAGAGAATTGAACTAGATAATCTTCACATTTCTGTCTAGTTCTTTGACTCCATAATTACAAGTCCAGCACTATTCTTAACAGAACTGAGTATAGTAGGAATTCCTTTGATTTTGCCGTATCTTAAAGGCCCACTGTAGTTTAGGTAGAGTGAGTTATTACCACGTCATCATCATTTCCCCACTGTAGTTTAGGTAGAGTGAGTTATTACCACGTCATCATCCTGTGCCTTTTGTGAAAAATATTGTGAGTGCACTAGAGGAAGGACCCACTGTATCCCAGTATTAATATATAAAGATGGACTAAGGATAAGTTACAGATGTGCTTTTATGTTGTCAAAGTTTTCATCTCGGCTGAAATGCTGCAATTCTCTGTGTACATATCTTTTGTTCTATTTTACCATTCCAGGGGAAGCCTCTTCCTGTGAAAATTTTATTCAGTGGAGGCTGAGAATTATCATTTAATATAGAATTCAGTGGTGGTTTCTACTGTGTGTTTTTCCATGCCTCCTACTTTTCCTTATGCTCAGGGTAACCTCTCTCTGTCTGCTCTGCTCATTTTAATAGCCCAAACATCACTTCCTTTTAGAAGTATTCTCTCACCAGCCCTGCCGCATTTTGTCCTCAAATGTCTTAGATTCCTTTCTTCTGTGATTTTATAATATATTGTGTACAATTGGAGGCAGTCACAGAGTTGTATTTATTTCCATAGCCCTTGTTTCTAACGGAGAACCTGGCCTATGGTAGGCACTCAGTAGATGTTTGTTGTTCGTGACAAGGCACTTTTACATTTACTGCCTAACAGTCGGAGATCCTCCAGTTGGAATTGGTGTAGAGAAGTGGAACGATTCTGGTCATGTCAGACTGATTTTGCTCTGTGTCTTGATGTTTTGACAAATTACTTTACTTCTCCAAGCCTGGAGTCTTTAATTAATTGGAGGAATCATACCTACCTTTTGGGATTTAAAAATCCTCTTGGGATTTTATTAAGGCAGCTTAGCCTTGTGACCAGGAGCAATGGCTTTTGAAGCAGACTGCTTCGGTTCATATTCTGGATCTACTGCTAACTTATTATATAACCTTATGAAAGTTACTTAACTCTTTGTGCCTCAGTTTTCTCATTTTTAAAATGGTAATAAAAGTACCTAACTCATAGAGTTATTTTGAGGAGCTATATTGAGAGAATTTTGTCTATATAGTACTTAAAACACTTCCCAACATACAATAAATGCTCAATAAATACTAACACCCTTCTGTGCCTTTTATACTCCAAGAACAATCAATATTTCTGGTAGTGGTGGTTTCCAAATATGACTAACCTACTAGTTGTTATATAAAAATGAATCTCTAGTATGGACTGACTGATAGTTTTTATCATCTGTGCTTATGGTTCTGTTTTTTGCTAAATATTATATTAATTATTAAATATGTTATTAAATTATTTATATATTCAATATAACTATTAAATATATTAACTATGTTTTCAGATCCAACTAGCACATAGTGAATATGTATTATATGCCAAGGACTTGCCAGGCAATTTTGAAACATAATCCCTTTTAATCATAATAAAGCATTTGTGAGGTAGACATCATTACCCCATTTTACAGCTAGGGAAACTGAGACTCAGAGAAGTTACAAATTTGCCTGTTTATATTTGGGAAAAAAAAAAAAGAATAGAACTGAAACCTTACAAAAGTAAATTCAGCATAGTTTCAAGACTCAGATATAGTTCAGATTATAAAAGCATTAGAAATGGGCCGAGCCCGTGGCGCACTCGGGAGAGTGCGGCACTGGGAGCGCAGTAGCGCTCCCGCCGCGGGTTCACCGGTGCGCTCACTGGGTGAGCGTGGTGTGGCCGGTCTCAAAAAGGACAAAATAGGGGCCGGCCCGGTGGCGCACTGGATAGTGCGCCGCTTGGGAAGCGCGGCGGCGCTCCCGCCCGAGGGTTCGGATCCCACATACGGACCAGTTCCTGCTCACTGGCTGAGCGAGGCGCGGGAGCGACGCCGAGGGTTGCGGTCCCGTTGCCGGTCCCCGGTCCGGTGCGGGGGCAACACTGAGGGTTGCGATCCATTGCCAGACACGGAAAAAGACAAAAGACGAAAAAAAAAAAAAAGGACAAAATAAATAAATAAATAAATATAAATAAAAATAAAAGCATTAGAAATAAATATAGAAAAATATTTTAATGGCTTTGGGATCCTTATAGTGCAAAGCATGGTGTGAAAAGTAGAAGTCATAAAGGAAAAAAAAAATGATACATTTGGCTCCATTAAAATATAAGTTCCCTTACAATAAAATATTACAAATTAAGTTCAAAGAGCAGGAAAAAATAATAGTGCTATATATAAGAATTTCCTTTGAAACAAACAAAAGACAAACTGCCCAGTTGCAAAATGGGTAAAGAATAGGAATTGGTGAGCAATAAAAGAGGATGATACCAGTACATAAGAAGGTATTCCTTCTGTTAGTATTCAGGGAAATACAATTAGAAAGGCAAAAACAAGCAAACAAAAAAACCAACCCATCACACTGGCAAAAATAAAGAAGATTGATAATCACAAAAGTTGGTAAGGTCATGAGTAAGGTAGCGTTTTCATATCCCACTGGTATAAATATAAATTGGTACAACTACTTTGGAGGGTTATTTAGCACTGTCTGGTAATATTTAAATTGTGCATTTCACTTTTCAAAATCTGAGAGAAAAAACTCATGTACGTGCATAATGGGGCATTTATAGAAAATGCTATTTGCAGCATTGTTTGTAATGGTGTGAACAACCTAAATATCCTTCAAAGAATAAATTGTGGTTTAGATAAACTATGAAAATTTGTGCACAGTATTAAAATAATGAAGTAGATCTATGCATACTAATGTGGGACTATCTCCAAAATATATTGTTGAAACAAAACAAAACAAGACAGCTAAAGATACACCCTGCATAATAAAATAGATAAAAAATAAGTAAAAGTAAATAAAAAAATAAAGATACACCCCATATGAAATTATTTGGTTTTTTTGTCCTTTTTGAGACCAGCCGCACCGTGCTCAGCCAGTGAGTGCTGTGAGCGCACCGGTCATCCCTATATAGGATCCGAACCCATGTCGGGAGTGCTGCTGCGCTCCCAGCACCGCACTCTCCCGAGTGAGCCAAGGGGTCGGCCCAAATCATTTGTATTTTTAAGTCCATGTACAACCACAGTACATATTTTCTCTAGTTTTATACATATGCATAGAAAATGATTTGGAAGAATAAACACCAATTGTTTAACAGTGATTACCACTGGAGAGGTGGAAGAAGGGATTGGAATTAAAAATGTGTGTTAAATTGGTCTTTCACCATATTAGTAGCTAATTTTGCAAAGAGAATATAATGAAATAATTAATTTTGAAAAGAAAAAAGCATAGTAAAAGCCACACAGATAAAAAGAAGCAGGGTTTAAACTAGATAGTCTAACAAAACCAAGCAACAAATAAAAAAACAGGGTTTTTCCTCTATTATATTGCCTTTCATGTTATCCTTCTAGTTCATGAGAAAAATATTTTAAGAGGAAGTTATAATGTTTACCTTGATTCCAAGTCTGGCAGTCATTTAGAAATTAAATTCTTGCTGGGTTATGTATTCCTTTGTCTCTATCCTAAATTTGAGCTCTTAGCCGCTCAGAGTAAATGTCAGCCTTCTTAGTTCAATTTTCTGCTTTGTCAGCATATCACTGTCTCATGTTCTGCTTTAATAACAGAATACAATGAAAGCTTTCTGTTTTTATTGTTAATAAAAATTTTTGTGTATATGATTCCCTTGGCCTAATCTGGTGTTCAGCTTCTATCAATTTATTAATATAGAATGCTGAATATTGAGTGTTCCATTGACTTTGAAGAGTTGCCAGCACTTTTTAGGTTTGGATTTCTAGTTTTATGTATAGTTAGAAGCCTGAACCCTCAGTAATCTGTTGTTATAGTATTTCTAGCTTGATTTTTAACACAGAATTTTAAAAAATTATACCCTAAATATGTTAAATCCAAAGAGTTTTCTGGCCTCATTTGGACGTGTGGTATTGTGACACCAACTATAAACTTCCCTG